AGCCACTTACCAGGTATATGATTTGCAAATATTTTCTCCCATTCAGTTGGTTGCCTTTTCATTTTGTTGATCATTTCCTTTGCTGGGCAAAAGTTTTGTTCTTCTTTCTCAAGATTGCTTTGGCTGTTCAGGGTCTTCGATGTTTCCATGCAAATTTTTCGACTGTTTGTTCTGTTTCTCTGAAAAATGCTATTGGAATTTTGATAGAGATTGCCTTGAATTTGTATATTGCTTTGGGTAGCATGGACATTTTAACAATATTGATTCTTCCAGTCCATGTGCACGAAATATCCTTCCATGTATTTGTGTCTTCTCCAATTTTAAATGTTAAAATATCTTTGCATTCCTGGGTTAAACCCCACTTGGTCATGATGTATTTCCTTTTTTATATATTGGATTCATTTTGCTAAAATTTTCATAAGAATTTCGAGATCTATGTTTATGAGAGCTATTGGTCTGTCATTTTGTTTGCTTTTGTTTTAATGACTTTGGTTTTGGTATCAGGATACTCCTGGCCTCATAGCATGAGCTGGGAAGTGTTTTGTTCTCTTCAGTTTTCTAGAAGACTTTATGTAGAATTGGTATTTTTTCTTCCTTAAATGTTTGCTCAAACTCACCAGTAAAGCCATCTGGGCTTGAAGTTTTCTTGGTGGAGAAGTTTTTAACTACAAATTCAATTTTTTAAGTAGATGTGGGGCTATTCAGGTTTTCTACCTCTTGTTGAGTGATCTTTGTTAGTGTGTATGTCCCAAAGAACTGGTCGATTTTGTCTAAGTTGTCAAGTTTATTGGAAAAAGTTGTTTATAATGTTCCCTTATTATTCTTTTGATGTCTAGTGATAGTAGGGTCTCTAGTGATGTTTCCTCTATCATTTCTGAAATTGGTAACTTATATCTGCTCTTTTTTTCCTCATCAGTCTTGCTAGAGTTTAATCAATTTTACTGCTCTCTGCAAAGAGCCAGCTTAAAATTGTACTGATTTTCTCTCTTTATTATTTTTCTGTTTTCTACAATACTTAACAGATTTTTACTCTGATCTTTCTTATTTCCTTTCTTCTGCTTACTTTTGTTTTACCTTGCTCTTGTTTTTCCAGTTTCTTAAGATGGAAGCTGAAGTCATTGATTTCAGATATTTCTTCCCTAGTGGATTTTAGTGTAAATTTTCCTTTTACTCTCAGCTGCATTTCACACATTTTGATGTATTTCATTTCATTTTCATCATGTTCAAGTGCTGCCTAATATCCCTTTTTATATCTTCTTTGAAATCATTTACATTATCACAAATGTCATATATATATATATATATCATCATATATTATTTAGAAAGCATATTTAGAGATTTTCCAGACCTCTTTATGTTGATTTCTAATTTAATCCCATTTTGGCCAGAGAAAATACAAAATTTGAATTCATTTAAATTTATTGAGGCTTGTTTTATGGTCTGTATATGGTCTATCTTGGTAAATGTTCTGTATGCACTTGGAAAGGATGTTTATTCTGCCCACTGTATGAACTAGGTCAGGTTGGTTGATAGTCTTGTTCAAGTCTTCTCTATCCCCCAGTTTTCTGAATCCTTGCTGTACCTCAGGAGGAGTGTTGAAGTCTCTGGCTGTAATTGTGGGCTTGTCTATTTCTCCTTGCCATTTTATCAGTTTTTGCTTCATGCATTTTGAAGCTTTCTTACTTTGTGCATACATGTTTAGAATTGCTGTGTCCTTTTGATGAATTTATCCTTTTATCATTGTGAAATGACCTTCTTATCCCTTGTCTATTCTTTGCTCTAAAATATACTTTGTCTTATGTTACTATATTCACTCCAGCGTTCTTTTTTTTTCTTTTGATTAGTGTTAACATGTTATATCTTTTTCCACCCTTTACTTTTAACCTATGTATATCTTGGTATTTAACGTGGGCTTTATTTTAGTGGTTGCTTAGAGTTTATGATGTATATATTTAATTTTTGCCAGTCTACCTTCTAGAGATATTATACCACTTAATGCATAGTATAAGGACCTTAAAGTACTATACTTCCAGTTCCCCCCTTTGGCCTTTGTCTATTGGCATATATTTCTACATATGTTAGAAATCCCACACTACATTGTTATTATGCTTACTTACATAGTTATTATCTTTGAAAGAGGTTTAAATGTTTACCCCTGTAGTTACCTCTTCCAGTGCTTTTCATTCCTTTACGTAGATTCGTCTGATGTCACTCTCCTTCTGCCTGAGGGTGTTCCTTCTCTTCCTCTTGTAGTACAGGCCTACTGATGATGAATTCTTCCCATTTTTGTATGTCTGAAAATGTCTTTATTTCACCTTCTTGTTTTAAAGACATTTTATCAGAGTGTAGAATTCTAGGTTGACAGTGTTTATCTTTCAGTACCTTAAAGATGCTGCTCCACTGTCTTCTCATTTGCAGGAAGTCTGCTGTCATATGTACTGTTTGCATGTCTTTTTTCTGGCTACTTGTAAGATTTTCTCCTCATCATTAATTTCAAGAATTTGAGGGACTTCCCTCATGGTGCAGTGGTTAAGAATCTGCCTGCCAAGGCAGGGGACATGGGTTTGATCCCTGGTCCAGGAAGATCCCACGTGCCATGGAGCAGCTAAGCCTGTGCGCCACAACTACTGAACCTGCGCTCTAGAGCCCATGAGCCACAACTACTGAGCCCGCGTGCCACGACTGCTGAAGCCCACGTGCCACAGCTGCTGAAGCCCGCGCACCTAGAGCCCGTGCTCCGCAACAAGAGAAGCCACCTCAATGAGAAGCCCGCGCACTGCGGTGAAGAGTAGCCCCCCGCTCACCACAGCTAGAGAAAGCCCACGCACAGCAACGAAGACCCAACACAGCCAAAAATTAATTAATTAATTAATTTTTTAAAAAAGAATTTGATTGTGATGTCCATGATGTAGTGTTCTTCATGTTTTTTGTGCTTGGAGTTCATTGAGCTTCTTGGATTTGTAGGTTTAGAGTTTCCATCAAATAGAAAAAAATGTTTTCCATTATTTTTAAAATATTTTTTCTGTTTCCCCTTTTTCTGGGACTCAAGTTACAGGTATATAGGCTGCTTGAAGTTGCCTCACAGTCCACTGATGCTCTGTTCATTTAAGCCTTTTTCAATTTTTTAGGTCTTTGTTTCATTTTGGGACAGTCTCTGTTGCTATGTCTTCAGGTTCACTAGTATTTTCTATTACAATATCTAATCTGTTGTTATTTCCATTCAGTATATTTTCCAACTCACATATTTTAGTTTTCATTGCAGGAGTTCTGTTTGGATGTTTTTAATATATCTTCCACGTCTTTATATAACATATTTAATCTTCCCTGTGGCTGTATGGAATACAGTATAATAACTATTAACGTTCTATCTGCCGATTCTAACATCTCTGCCAGCCCAGGGTTGGTTTTGCTTGATTAATTTTTCTCCTTATTGTGGGTTGTATTTCCCTGCTTCTTTGCATGCCTAGTCCTTGATTGGATGCCAGGTACTGTGATTGGGTGCTGAATATTTCTGTATTGCTGTGAGCACCGTTGAGCTTTATCCTGGGACCCAGTTAAGCAATGTGGAAACAGATTGGTCTTTTCAGGCTTTGCTTTTAAAATTGGTTAGGCTGGACCAGAGCAGTGTAGGGTAGGCCTAATTCTTCTCTGCTACTGAGGCAAGACCCTTCAGAGCATTCTACCCAATGCCCATGGATTATGAGATTTTTCTAGTCTGGCTGTTGGGAGTGAGCCCTGTTCTCCAGGTGGTGTGAGCTTCGGTCTGATCCTTTCAGGTGATTTTTTTCCTCCCATCTGTGCACTGGTGAGGACTCTGGGGTCCCTGCAGCTGTCTGGAGTCCTCTCTGTGCAGCTGTCCTCTACACTTCTCTTCCTGAAAACTCCAGCCACCGTGGCCTCCCCAGACTCTCAGCTCTGCCTCTGCTCTCAGGGATCCCACAAGGCTCACCTGGTTTCCCCACCTTGCTCCTCAGAAACTCTCAAGGCAGTAAGCCGGGCAGATATGGGGCTCACCTTGTTTTCCATCCCTTAAGAGTCACTCTCCTTTGTTACCTGATGTTCAGTGTCTTGGAACTTATTGTTTCATATATTTAGTCCCTTCCTGGTTGTTTCAGGTGGGAAGGTCAGTCTAGTCCCTGTTCCTCCATCTTGGCCACAATCCCAAGTCCTTCCGCTGTGTTGACTTACACTAGTCAGTGCCTGTTTCTGGAAGCGGAATGGGGGCATGCCCACCCACACCTCAGTACCACACAGCAGGGGAGAGGTGGAATGGACACTGGGAGAACCCACCAGTGTCCACCATATAGTCTTTTGTACCTGGAAGAAGTAATGTTTAGAAGCAACTCAGCATCCATCTACAGATGCTTACTTTAGTAAAAAGTCATAAATACATCATATGTGATGCACCGATAAAAGGGATATTGTTAAATGAAAAAACACATTGCAGGCTAGTGTACAAGATTATATGCCGTTTGGGTAAACATGGAGGTGAAGAATAAGAATCTGTATTCATGCTTACTTATAGATGTGTAAAGAAAGTAGACAGATACATAAGGAAATAAAAGAAATGGTTTTCTGTGGGGAGAATAAATGAGAACTAGGCAGATTGTGTACAGGGATAGGGAGAAGCTAGTAAATGTCTTTCTAATACATGCTGATTTTTGAACCACGTGGATATATTACATATTAAGAAAAATAAATCCAAACATAACAATTTCTTGGAGAATTCAGGGAGATAGAAGAATATTTACAATGAAAGCAAGATTTAAATAAGTATGTACATTGAGTATTACAACTCTAAAACATATATACAAGTGTACAAAGAGTATAAAGAAAGGCAGAAAAATTAAAAATTTATCTGCTAGATTGATGAAGGTTTTATGTTCCAGCTGTTGTAATGATTGTAAACATTTCTTGAAAGATAACTAAATTAGTGAAAGTAAATAAATGCAAAATAACTGGTAGGAGTTAAAATTAAATGTCTTCCTCCACTTCATCAGAATTGAGTCCAGCAGAGCTTGGCACCCTGCCCTGTGAGCCCTGGACCCTCAGCACACACCCAGCTCCACTGGCCTCACAACAGTTTAAACACATAGGGCTCACAAAAGCTGTGCTGTCAGCCCACACGCAGAAGGAAGAACAGAGTTATGGGGATCAGTTCCGGGACAGGATTCTGTCATCGCCCTACGGCTCCTATCTTCAGCAAGAAAGCAGAAGCAAAGCTACATATTCAGATGTTCAAGGTAGTTAAATTTTTAAAAATATATTCCCTTTATCAACATAGTTGTCAAATTTATAAATCATACGTGAGTACTGGGAGATACGGAGTGGAGTATAGGAGTTTTGCTTGTAAGAAACTGATTGAGAGATACTGAAATAAGTTTATTTTATAGCAACAGCTTTTACCCAGGATCTTGTTCATCTTTTCAGAGCTATTTTCTGTCATCCCTGCAGTGGACATAGTTACTATCGGCCAATGTTTATTCCTTGTAAAATCTACTTAGAATTATCTATCAACATTGTCCTTCTCTTCTGTTCTGGCTTAGTTTTCTGTAACACGCCTTCCTCTTTACCCTTCAGGAGATTCTGCTTCCAAGCCTACCCGATCCGCTGGTTGCAGGAAGGGGAAGCACAAGCGTAAGAAGCTGCTCATGTGGTCAGACAGCAAGGGCACTAAGGATGACTTCTGTCCCCACCTCGTAGGAGAGGCCCAGGATGGACAGCCCTGGTGCCCTTCCTCCACCTCCTCTCCTTATGCCTCTGGCCCATTGCTCCAGGCTGCAGTGGTGGTTCCCAGCCAGGCACCTTGCCTAGTCCAAGCCCTTCCCCTCCCAACCATGACCTCCCTGGGGAGAGAACGTGCAGCCTCAGAAACTGTGTTGCAGAGTCTGCCTGAGCCGCCTTTCCCCAATGGCTTGCAGTCTTTCCCAGCTCTGCCCTCTGCTTGCTTAGATACTTTTATGAACATCTTCCTGCATGACCCCCCTATCTGTCCTCTCTTGTTACCACCATTCTCCCCATATCCATTCTTGGGAGCAGCAGGCTCTTCTGAAATACCCGCCTCGGTATCAGCAGTGCCTCCAAATCCAGGCCCACCATCTTCAGCCATCAGCCAAAGGAGCGGTGAGGGAAAGTGGGGGACCCAGAATGAAGGGCACCCCCTCATTAACTCAAAGAGCAGCTCCCCGCTCCAGCTCGACCTGCTGCAGGAGGACAGGCCCAGATCGTGTGCATCCCCAGAAGCTGAGTATGTAAGTGACACTAACTTTCAACACACAAGAGAGAAAATAAATGTGCGTCCTCTTATTAAAATTAAGGTTTTTGCACTGAGGCTCAAGACTAATGGCCTAGATGGGTAACTGTATTACAGCTGAGGTTGAGACTTTGTTCTGCAGAAACATGCAGTATATCCTTCAGACTCCATTTAAAAAGCTGCAGTGAAAGAATCTGCTGTGTCCTGAGTTCTTACATACTTTGCGAGGATTTCCCCAAAGTGCTATCTTTCAGATTTTCTTTGTGAACTGGATTTCCCCTCTGCTTTAAAATTTGATATCCAGGTATTAAACTTAAGTGTGCATTGCCTATAAAATGTGTTTTCTTACTTACAACTGGGGTTATGGGCTAGACAGGAACAAGCCATACTGATAAGACATGAATTTAGCAATTTTACTTTTTCAGACACAGTTGTAGGACACCAGGTCTGTATGGAGTGGGTAGGAGCTCATTTTTGTCATTAATTATCAGTAATGTAGTCAGTTTATATAGTTTTATACTTACACATGTCATTTTTTAAAACGAAAAATTTTTGGTCACTTTCCTTTAACTTTTCATCTCTTTACCTAAAATGGCATTCTCAGATTTACTTGTCAGGTTACACTTTGGGATAAGACTTTCCTATACTTAGGTATAGGATCCAAGACAACGTGAACATTTACGCAAAGTTTTTCTTCAGTCTTCCCTTCAAGGCATAATAATGATTTTAAACAAATGTTCAGAATCTGATGATCCAAATCAAGAAAGTATGCTCGATTTTGAAAGCCTGATATTAGTACACTTGCTAGAAACCTAAGGCAAAGCCTGGGCTACGGAATCAGACCTGGCTTCCAATCCCGGCTCTGCCACAGGTTAGGTGGCTTAGCTTACACAAGATATTTAACCTTTCCATGCCTTTGTTTTCTTATTTGAAAAATGGAAAGATTAAGACTTCATGGCTTTTTCTGAGGACTAAATTAAGTAATATTTATATGGCCCTTCTCCCCATGCAGTATAAGCTCAGGACAGCTGGAACATGGTTTTGTTCACTATTATATTACTAGCGTTTTGAACAATTCTTAGAACATATAAAGTGTTCAATATATGTGTTCTGAATGACAAAAAATAATAATAAAGCACATACCTGTATGGTTCCTGGAATGTAATAGGTGCTCAAAAAGCAGTAGTATCTTTAATAAATATAAATTATAAATATAAATATATATGATATATATATAAATTATAAATATAATTATATATATATTATATATATTATATAATATAGGGTATATATACCTATATATATATAGGTATATATATATATATATACCTATATATTATACCTATATATTTTATATATATATAATACCTATATATTATATATATACAATATTATATATATAATATATATAATATTATATATATATTATATATATAATATATAAATTATAAATATAATTATATATATATATAATTTATAAATATAAATTATTATAAATAAAGGAACTTTGACCACATTCCTGGGGGCAGGCTGAAAATGTTTTACTTCTCGGTTATGTATATACCTTTTTTTCTGTTTAACATGTGAAGTTGAAGATCTGCCAGTTATTTTGTAACAGGGTGCTTGAGGTGTTCAAATCTTTTCTTGTGTCCTTACTTTCTAGCAGCCTGTCAGTCTCAACAGTGAGAATAAGGACGATCGTCTTCCTCCCAGTGGACTGTCTACAGTGCCCCTGCATGAGGCTTCTCCGCCGGGAGCTGGTTCTGCAGCAGCAGGTAGTGGATCAAAGTGACACCTCCTTCACCCTCTGTGGTCAGGAGGTGACTAGGTAACAGGCTGTCTGGTTTTGGTCCTGGCGTGAAAGTAAAGTATTTCTTTTCTTTTTGTAAGCTTTATTGGGGTATATTTACATACAATAAATTCACCAAATTTAGGGGTACAAATCAAGAATTCTCACAGATTGTCTACATTCGTGTAACCGCCGCCACCGTCACCATATAGACCGTTTCCAGACTATGACCGTTCGCGGTCTGTCTGCCGCCCTGATCCTCCACCTCCTGGCAAGCACTGGTCTGCTTTCTGTCACTTTAATGCTGCTCTTTCTGTAACTTCATATAGATCGACTCATCCAGTTTGCAGTCTTTTGTGTCAGCATAGTGCTGTTGAGATTCATCCTTATTGTGTATATCAGTAATTTGTTCCTTTTTATGGCCCAGTGGAATTACATTGTATGGATAGCAATTCATCAGTTGATGGTTATTCGGTTGTTCCCAGTTTGGGGCTATTATGAATAATGCTGCTGTGAACATTAGTGTATGAGTCTTTTTGTGGACATATGTTTTCATTTTTCTTGGGTAAATACCTCAGAGTGAAATTGCTAGGTCACATGGTAAGTATACGGTTAACTTTATAAGGGACTGCCAGCTGTTTTCCAAAGTGGCTGTACCGTTTGCATTCCTATCAGCCACATATGAGAGCTCCAATTGCAGTGCATCCTGGCCAACACTGGGTATTGTCCATCATTTAAATTTTAGCCATTCCAGTGTATACACAGTGATACCTCATTGTGGTTTTATTGACTGTTGATTAATGGTGATGGCTGTCTTCTTGTGTACTTATTTGCCATTCATATGTGTTCACATCTGTTGCTTGTTTTGTGGGGGTGGTTTGTTAGTTTTCTTATTGAGTAGTAAGAGTTCTGTATACATTCTGGATATAAGTCTGTTATCAAATACTTGTTTTGCAAAAATTTCTTCCCTGTTGTGTGCCTTGCCCTTTTTTTTGATCTTTTATTTTTATCTTCGTTTTGAAGAGCAAATGTTTTTAAATTTTGATGAAGTTCAGTTTATCAGTTTTTTCTTTTGTAAGTTGTGCCTTTTATGTCCTTTTTAAAGAAGTCCTTGCCTAACTAGAAGTCACTAAGATAGTCTCCTGTTTTCTCTGGGAAATTTTAGAGATTAAGCTTCTATATAGCTAAGTCTGTGATCCGTTTTTAGTTACTTTTTATATATGGTGTGAGCTCACCTCCTCTCATAGGCACACCAGAATTGCCACTATTTACGGAACATTTGTCGATGAAAAAGACCAGAACCTACTGCAAAAGATCTTCTACAACTAAAGATTTAAAGAAGGAACCACGAGATGGGTAGGTGGTGGGGAGTCGCAGTATAGGCAAGACCCATACGCTGGGTGGGTGACCCACATATGGAAGAATAATTACAATTGCAAGGTTCTCCCCAAGGAGCAAAAAGTCTGAGTCCCACATTGGGCCCCCCAGCCTGGGGGTTCTACTCCAGGAAGATGAGCCCCAAGAACTTTTGGCTTTGAAGCCCAGCGGTGCTTACTTTTGGGAGAGCCAGAGGGCTGTGGAAAATAGAGACTCCACTCTTAAAAGGCTCACAGAGAATCTCACCTGCTCCAGGACCCAGGGCAGAAGCAGTAATCTGAAAGGGGCCTGGGTCAGACGCACATGCTGATCTTGGAGAGTCTCCCCAAGAGGCAGGAAGCAATTAATTGGAGCTCACCCCTGGGGACATAGGCATGGTGGCAGCCATTTCTGGGAGCTCGTTCTGCCACATGGACTCTGTTGCTGGCAAGCGCCATTTGGGAATCCTTGTAGCTTATTAGCCACAGGACCCAGCCCCACCCCACCCCCCAGCCCTAAGGCACCAGGACTGGGAAGCCTCAGGCCAAGCAACTAACTGGGCAGGGACACAGCCCCACCCAACAGCAGACAGTCAGCCTTAAGTCCCCCTGAGCCCACACCTTCCCCGGGACACAGCCCTGCCCACCAGAGGGCCAAGGACCAGGCTCTACACACCACTGGGCAGGCACTAGATCTGGGACACCCAGGGCCCTGCATGCAGAGACCCTGGGACCTAGCTCCACCTACCAGAGGGCACGCACCAGACCCAGAATCCCCTATCCCAGCCACCAATGAGCCGGTTCTAGCCTTGGAACCAGCCTCACCCAACAGTGGGCGAGCACCAACCCCAGGACAACCACAGCCCCGTAGCCTGTGGACCTAGCCCACACACCAGCAACCAACCTACCAGATACACAGAAATAAAAACAGCAAGTTAGGCAGAATGAGGCAACAGAGGAACATGTTCCAAGCAAAGGAATAAGATTTAAACCCCAGAAGAGCTAAGTGAAGTGGAGATAGTCCATCTACCCAAGAAAGAGTTCAAGGTAATGATTGTAAAGATGATTAGAGAACTCCAAAGAAGAATGGATGAACAGAGAGAGAAATTAGAAGTTTTTAGCAGTTAGAAAATATAAAGAACAACCAAACAGAGGTGAAGAATACAATCATTGAAATGAAAAATACACTAGAAGGAACCAACAGTAGACAAAATGGTACAGAGGAATGGACCAGTGAGGTGGAAGACAGAGTAGTGGAAATCACTGAAGATGAACAGGAAAAAGAATAAAAAGATGTGAGGACAGTTTGAGACATCTGGCACAACACCAGGCATACTAACGTTCACATTTTTGAGGTTCCAGAAAGAGAAGAGAGAGAGAAAGGGGCAGAGAACATATTTGAAGATATAATAGCTGAATATATCCCTAACCTGGGAAAGGAAACATATCCAAGTCCAAGAAGAACAGGTAATCCCGAAGAGGACCACACGAAGGCACATTGCAATTAAGATGGCAAAAATTAAGGATAAATAGAGACTATAAAGAAATAATAAGTGGGAACTTCCCGAGCATGGGGAAGGAACTGGATATACAAGTCCATGAAGCTAAGAGAACACCTAATTACCTCAACACAAAAAGACCTTCTTCTCCAAGACACATCATATTAAAACTGTCAAAAGTCAATGGCAAAGAAAGAATTTTAAAGGCAGCCAGGGGAAAAAGGATGATAACCTGCAAAGGAAACCCCATTAGGCTATCAGCAGTTTTCTCAACAGAAACACTCTAGGCCAAGAGAGAGTGGAATGACATTCTCAAAATACTGAAATATAAAATCTGTCAGCTAAGAATACTCTATCCAGCAAAGTTACCCTTCAGATATGAAAGAGAAATAAAGGCTTTCCCAGACAAACAAAAGCTGAGGAAGTTCATCACCACTAGACCTGCCTTACAAGAAATGTTCAAAGGAGCTCTTCTGCCTGAAATGAAACGACAAGAGTACACAAAACCTTGAGTTAGGTAAAATAGAATCAGAAAAATCACAACTCAGTCAGAATAGGTTTTTAAGCACATTATTACAGCATAAAAGTCAAAAAGAAGGAAAGCAGTAAAAATAACTATAGCTACTTCAATTTGGTAACAAACTCACAACTTAAAAAGGGATAATTTATGACAACTAGAACATAAAAGGGGAAGATGAGAAGGACAGACCTGTATAGGTAAGTGAAGATAAGGTGCTCTCAGCATAAAAAGGACTATTTTATCTATGAGATATTTTATGCAAACCTCATGGTAACCACAAAACATAAATCTAGAGCAGAGACACGAAACATAAAAAAAAAAAACTGAGAAAAACATCATACAAAACCACCAAACCAAAGTGGCAGACAGAAACACAAGGAAAAGAAACAATGGGGAAATAGAGCAACCAGAAAACAAAAGATTAAAAGGCAGTAGTACTAAGTCCTCATTTGCCAATAATCACCATAAGTGTAAATGAATTGAATTCATCAGTCAAAAGTCACAGAGTGGCTGGATGGATTACAAAACAAGACCCAACTATACACTGCCTCCAGGAGACCCATCTCAGCTCAACAGACAAACATAGACACAAAAGAAGGGATGGAAGATGATACTCCAAGCAGATGGCAGCCAAAAGAAAGTGGTATAGCCATACATATATCAGACAAAATAGACTTCAAGCCAAAAAAGGTAACGAGACAAGATGGACATGATATAATGATGAAGGGGACAAGTCATCAGGAAGATATAACAGTTATTAATATTTATGCACCTAGCATAGGCGCATTAAAATATACAAAGCAATCATTAACAGACCTAAAAAGAGAAATTTGCAGCAACACAATAACAGTAGGGGACTTTAAAACTCCTCTTACATCAATGAATAGATGTCCTGTGAACAAGGAAACAGTGGTCTTAAATGAAACATTAGACCAGATGGATTCATGGATTTGTATAGTCAATTCAAATGCAGCAGAATACACATTCTTCTCAAGTCCACATAGAACTTTCTCAGGGATAGATCATCTGTTGGCACACAAAACAAGTCTCAGTGCATTTAAGAAGATGGAAATCATATCATGCATTTTTTCTAATCACAGTGGTGTGAAACTACAAATCAGCTATGAGAAGAAAGCTGGAAAACTCACAGATATGTAGAGACTGAACAACATGCTACTGAACAACTATTGAGTCAGTGAAGAAATCAAAGGAGAAATCAAAAACTACCTGAAGACAAATGACAATACAACATGACAAAGCCTACGGGATGCAGCAAAAACAATACTAAGAAGAAAGTTTATAGCAATCCAGGCCTACCTCAAGAAACAAGAAAAATATCAAACAGTCTAACTTTACACCCAAAGGAACTAGAAAAAGAAGAACAAACGAAGCCCAAAGTCAGTAGAAGGAAGGACATAAAGATCAGAGTCAGAAGAAATGAAATAGACACAAAATTGACAGACCTTTAGCTAGACTCACTAAGAAACAAAGGGATAAAGCTCTGATAAAGAAAACCAGAAGTGAAAGAGGAGAAATACGATACCATAGAAATACAGAGGATTAGAAGAGTATATTGTGAACAGCTACATGCCAACTACCTGGACAACCTAGA